TCAGTCTCAGTCTCAGTCTCAGTCTCAGTCTCAGTCTCAGTCTCAGTCTCAGTCTCAGTCTCAGTCTCAGTCTCAGTCTCAGTCTCAGTCTCAGTCTCAGTCTCAGTCTCAGTCTCAGTCTCAGTCTCAGTCTCAGTCTCTGTCTCAGTCTCAGTCTCAGTCTCAGTCTCAGTCTCAGTCTCAGTCTCAGTCTCTGTCTCAGTCTCAGTCTCAGTCTCAGTCTCAGTCTCAGACTCAGTCTCAGTCTCAGTCTCAGTCTCAGTCTCAGTCTCAGTCTCAGTCTCAGTCTCAGTCTCAGTCTCAGTCTCAGTCTCAGTCTCAGTCTCAGTCTCAGTCTCAGTCTCAGTCTCAGTCTCAGTCTCAGTCTCAGTCTCAGTCTCAGTCTCAGTCTCAGTCTCAGTCTCAGTCTCAGTCTCAGTCTCAGTCTCAGTCTCAGTCTCAGTCTCAGTCTCAGTCTCAGTCTCAGTCTCAGTCTCAGTCTCAGTTTCAGTCTCAGTCTCAGTTTCAGTCTCAGTTTCAGTCTCAGTCTCAGTCTCACGAACAACTTACTGCCAATATCTTTTTTCTAAATTGCGAAGATGTAGCCGATTGTATTGCTGCTTCTTGTTAATTTGAAATCCCGCTCACGTAGCAGACATCGGCGGACGAAATTCTGTTAATTGTTTTCATTAGTCACCAGCTGTCGGCCAACTGAAATTATAAGTAGGGACTTATACCTATGTGTTAATGGAAATATATTCCGCTATTATAACACTACAGACTGTCTTTTCTAGGTCCAAGTGCATTTATTCAACTAAAAGATTGGCACAGCTCATCCAAATTACTAAAATTGTTGTTATATAGGATCTATACTGATCAAGAACACTTATATTTCCGACCAGTCTTGGTATAGTAATACTAATACTGTCGTAATATAATAATACTAATACTACAATAATATAAAAAAATCGCATTTAAACTAAATACAATTTTCGACTATAAAAGCAGCTCTGGCTGATAAACGAACGAGAAGGTAAGATTGATTTTCCACTCTTAAATGGCACGATCCTAAGATCTAGTCGAATCTCTCTTTATATGTAAACACCTGCACGTATTGTATGCATATTTCTTAGAATATATTTTCCTTCTACGGGCTGCCCGAAATCGCTGTTCGCAGCACGCTCCATCATTGAAAGCCAATCGACGTGAAGTAAGATCCTGTTCTAGACAAACCGAGTTTTTGAATTATTTAAAGAAAGTGAGCGGTTCTGAGCCAAAGTCTCGGCCACGCCGTCAGTTCCTAACTATTTAATGTTTTGGGAAAACTTTAGCTGACAAACTAGGGAGGCTCCTCCAGAGTCGGGCCTGAGATCTCGGATCTGCGATCTGAGGGGATTGGCGTGTAGCCTGTAAATTGAAATGCGGACTACGTGCGTGGCATTCAAAGAAAGGCAAGCGCGAAGAAACCCGGATGGTTTGCATATGTAAATATCAAAAGCGAAAATCCCAGCTGCGGATTTAAAAAGATTTGTCAGCCCAGCGGCACTTGCCTTAAAAAAGGTGGCTCCGTTCTGTGCCACAGCAGTGAACTAGACCTTCTGACTACACTCCAATTAACTGCCAACGCGGAAGCGATCATCGATCTAAAAGTATGCTCTTTTATTATCGATATAGGGTGACGGCATTCTTCATACACATATGTATAAGTCCTCGAAAGTTGTTCTCAAAGTGGTATGACAGGGGAAACCCCAAGGGAATTTTTTGCTGAGGGCAGGATGCTCTGCGAGAAGTCCAAGGCTAAAATCGGGTTATTGTGATCCGGTTTCGAACGAATCATTTCCGCACTTGTTTTGTGTGCAGTTGCATTAATATTTATGGCGCAAGAAAAACTCTACCAATTACTCGCCTGGGGCGTGTTAATTGTGAAGCTTGAACTTCGGACCAATGTCACGAGTTCGTTGGGAAAATTATCGCTTGCATACATTACCTTGAGGGACCCGAGGGAAACGCCTCATCAACAACTGTCCCAAAAGTAAATAAAGCCCAGCTGACCGGATAATGGAACAGTCTTTTCTACTTACTGTAGACTCTATCCTGATCTTAAGGGATTCCTTCTGGAATCGGAGTATCAGGCTAGAATTGACTAGTTCCATTTCGTCTATGTAAATGTTTATGTACATATGTATGTATGTACATATGTACAAATATTGCTGAGCTTGGGCAAGTGCGGACATCAGGGTTGCCACACTGCTGGTACCGGATCGAACGGCGATCGCCAGGCAAATCGATTATCTGCGCCATATAGCCCAGTTGGTGTTGTTGTCTTGGCGTTGAGAGCGCCGTCCAGGCCAAAATGGATGTTGTGAACGAACCAAGCGAACAGTTGCAAAAGAGCGCGGAAATCACATGTGCGGCCAACTTACCAGCAACTCAAAATCCACAACCGAAGGCAGCCAGCAGTAGATCGGTTGGTAAATCGCTAAAAACCGAAAACTGCAAAAACCACAACACACAAATTGCACGGGCCCGAACTATTTCACAAAGTGTTGCCAAAGAACTTTGTAAAATAATTATTTTCGCAATGGCTTTCGGCTTTTCGCACACGAGCGAATCGAGACTCGACAGCGATTAGCGCGCGCTTGACTTCTGAATGAAAACTGAGCTGCGATCGCTCGGTGGGGCTGATTAAACGCGAACGGCTCGACGCGGCGACGCAAAAACGCAGATTGTCGACGCCGGCCCCGACGCCGACGCTGCGCAGGCGCAATGGCAGAGAACCCAAAAGCTGCCACTGTGGAAACTTTACGGTCAGCACCAAGTGCAGTGCGAAAACTTTCCGCGCTCGAGACGTCAAGTGCAGTGGACGAAACAAAGTAAACATTCTAATTGCCCCGGGCACTGGTCCCCGGGAATTCGACTCAATCCCAAATCTGAACCCTAACCCTAGCCCGGTCATTTGTGCTCCTGTTAATACCTGATGTCAGCGGCGGAGGCAAGGTCCAAGTGCAGGTGGCGGCAAAATATGTAATCAGTAATATGAATTAAAATTACCTGGGATTTGCTTGGGATTAATGACTTTTGGTCATCAGTGTAATTTACATATAATATTTCAAGTGTGGAGGTTCCTAAATTCACTATTCTTTTAATGACAAAGTTGTTTAAGACAGGAGGGGCTTTTGACGTCTCGATTTTTATTACAGTGCTTATTTTGTGTTAATGAAAGCCTAATAACTATGTACTTATAGTAATAGCAACTGTTGTTTCGCGTAAGCTTTAAACAAGTTTAAACATTTTGACGGAATGGAGGAAATATTTTTCAAAATTTTTAACATTTTATTTCGATTTTCCATTTTATTTACTTTTTCCATTTAATTTTTGTAAGAGAATAATAAATAAAATCTTAAGAACTTTAATTTCTGCCTGGTGGAATTGCCTAAACTATTTATTCGGTTTAAAATATGGGTTTCGTAAATCTAAAGATAAGTCATTACAAATACAGGTTACATAAAGGGGAATCAGCAAATCGGGTTAAATCTTAGAGACGAATTAAAGACATCGTTGTATCTAGATTAGGAAAAGACAATCCCTTAATAATAAAAGACAATTGATCGGGCTTAAGTACTTTACCACTTCAAAAGGGCAAGCACTAAAGTGGGCTGAGAATTACCTAACAATAGCCTGGAGTGCCCTCAAGGAGCCACGTCGTAGCTCCACAAACGCCTGAGAAACTCCTCGTGCATTGCGATGCATTTAGTTATGTCAACTTCTCCAACGTCTTGCCCTCTTCTCCCCGCTGCTGTTAGTGTCCAGAACCGACAAGGTCAAGTGGCTATCAAATATTAGCCCGCGCAGCCCAGCTGTCGCCACCTACTGGTGAGCTTTGTTTGCCCATAATTAGTGTATTAGGTAATTGCCAGTTTCCATGTTAGTCCAGTGGCAAACTGCATTGTTATTAGTTTTTTTTCGATTGTTTGGCACGCTCCTGCACTTTTGAACAGCCGAGCGTTAGGCACAGACACTATTTGGGCGCCGTTAAAAGTGCTATGTTTATAGAAAAAATAAAGAACGCTTTTGTCGAGTTCCGCGACTGTAAGATACTTGTTCCTCTGATAAACAATGTCAAATGTTTTTGGGACATCGAAGATAAGGTCTCTTTAAATTTGGGTCTTGTCTTAAAATTGTTTTGATAGGTCAAAGTATACAACCTCTCTTTTTGAAAATAGAATTTTTATTTTCGAATTTCGCGGATCTTGGGCTTTATAGGGAAGCGAGGAAAGCTTTTGAAATAAGAATTCTCGTGGTCCCCGAAATCTGTATGCTTAACTACAACATTCCAGCTCTTCTAGTTTTTGATTTAATAAAAAGTATAAAGTCTAATTTAAATTCTACTTTTCAACGAAAATAATGATATAGTTAACACACTTAAAAATGTATGTATGCGTAAATACATATCTATTCAGATACATATGTATCGAAGTCTTTTCTGGCTTATTTGAAATATATATTCCAATGTTATTTCGGGATATTCTAAAATTGTTTTCATTTACCACAAACAGGTTTTCACTAATGAAGAAATCAAGAAATAGAGGGTCAGTATGATAGTCATTTAATAAACTCGAATTGTGGCAACAGATGGCGCCACTAAAATTATGTATTATTTCTTGTCAATTGGTTTACAGAGCTACGGATATCTGATACGCGTAAAATAAGAAAAGCGGACTTTTAACTTTAATATTTATATTAATTATAGAAAATAATAAGTGTGTCTGCATTATGGTTAGGAATGGTTTATACTCCCAAAAGTGATAGTTCACGGCATGGGATGTTTTGCCACATTAGCCAGGAAAAGTTGACTCTAATTAAACAATCCGTCAAAAATGTATTCATTTATTAACAATTACCGTGTAAAGCGCTTTACAAGGTAGACTATACTATTTGAAAGGCTCCTTAGGACAACGACCCTACCCAATTATCTAAGTAATGTGGAACGTTTCTTTGAATATTATTAAAATATTTTCTTATACTTTTAATATAAATTAATAAGCTTTATTCAGGTTTTCCATAGTTTTTTGAACTTGTCAGCTTAAGCCACATAACTTAACAATGAAACCAATACGCACAGGTTAACAGACAGAATTACACTTACAAATAATTCGAAATAAAACCGTTTAACAACTTCAAACCATAAGTGGGAACAAGGGGATATTGTATAAGTAGTAATAAAGTATGATAATGACCCCCACCAAAGGTTCATGATTTGTGAATAGTGGTCAACTTTTGTTTAGATTATTGTATGTTGACAACCAACGCCTAAACTGATTGTCTGCTCCCTAAGCCGTTTTCACTTACAGTATAAAAGCTTTATCTTCATGAATTCTTTGTTGCTCCGTTTCGCCTGACTATAGTGTGTTGATCCGTCCGGTCGTCCGTTAAATCGTTACGTTGCCCAGTGAGGCGATAGGAAGGTTCTGGTTCTTGTTACATTTTGCAATTGGCTAGCTAGCTACATTATATAAATAAGTTTTACTATTAGACCTTTACAAAGTATTGCAACAATCATGACTTTCTCTCAATATACAAAACAAGCTACAAATAGTATAACGTGGTCATTAAGTTTTAAGCAGACTTAAAGAGAGCATGTTTACCTATCGATATCAAAACGCCTCAAGTTGTTATCAAAAATTGACATAAAAAGTCTACACCTAGAGTGACTAAGTGTTTCTGCAGGCGTGTTCGTATCCAAGAAGCTGCACTAAAAATTATAATTTGTATTTGACGCCAGTTTAGAACACGCTTCAATATCTATGGCTATATAAATATCGATCAAAAAATAACTTCCTCTGCATATAAGCAGTGAATGTATCTGTAGTTCAATAGAGATTTGAAAACGGGTGACGTGCCTTTAAAGTCTAATAAAAAAGGGGTTTAATTATCTCTTAGTTTGTGCTGACGCTGCATTTCCTACTTTAGTTGACGGTTCGGGTGGGTGGGCACAGTTGGTTGTAGGTGGCGATTGTTCGGTACGTTTCGGCTTATCCGAATGACTTTCGGCAGAGCTGTTATTTTCTATTATCCGTATTCAAAATATAAATTTTTAAAATCTTTCCATAAACCGAGCTCTCTTAATATTCCCTTTCCGCTGGGGTGCCAATTCTTTTACTGCATCTGCTACTTTTGCCAAGCTTCTTGTTTGTCTTGTTCTTCAATCTGGTTCAGTTACACGCTAAACACTTAACATAAACATAATGAATATCATCGTAGTACACCTAATCAGTAGTTATTTGACTTTGCGCTGGTGCAGACTAGAACTACTGCTGTCCGGGTTGAAGATGGCATCGTTGTTGGATAACACGCCCTCCTTGAAAAAGCCGTCCTTGTAGGCACCATTGGCATGCCCGTTTATCTTTACGTACTCCTCCTCCATCACAGGCTGCAAAGAGAACACAGATTGCTTTATGAGTTCGGGTTCAGACTCCAATGGACATTGGCACGTGTGTGCCGATAGCAAATGCTCATTTGTGTGCTTTTCTAATGGGCAGCAGATTGGGATTGCGATGGGGACTGGACTGGGTCCGGGCTTGGGCTTAGGCCTTCGCATCCGGCTTCACATCTGAGCGCTAATTGAAACGCCCCCCTGTGCTGAGAGTTCGCAAGTGTTGTTTGCTTAACTTAGCTAGTTAGAATTTTAAGTTGATCAACAACGGCTGAACTCTCCAGAACTTGCTTCGCAACTTGGTTGATTTGAGCCGAGTCGTCAGGGCCTTGTTTATATGTTTGTGTTTGCACAGCCCCGACTAATGGCACTCAAGGGTTGCCCAAATGTCCCCCAAATGCGACACAGAGCCGATGGGTGACGCGATGACCTACCATGCAAGCCCCCGTGTTGCTGCCGTTGGTGACAAGTGCGTCTCCCTCTCCGATGTGCTTGGTGTGCCCATTTGAATGCAAGCCGTTGGCATTGCCATTGGCCTTGACCGCCTGCCTGCGTCGTCGAGCTGCGTTCAAATATTTGGCTTTGTAGAAGTCAGAGAAAAGGAACAGGAACATGACGCCGTGTAGCCCAATCCAAACCATGAAGCCCTTCGGGTAGTCACAGTCGCGGAACAGCAGTTGGAACTGGTGCGTGAAAATGGCCACGAATTGAACCTGAAAGACATGGGAAATCCTTTATAGAATTGTAATGGGGAAGATTGTTTATTCTACCATTTGGAAGGTTGTCAGGTACTTCTTCCACCAGATGTATTTCTGGTACTTTGGACCCATAGCGGCGATCATGTAGTAGAAATACATCACAATGTGCACAAACGAGTTGAGGAGGGCAAAGAAGGTGCTGTGACCGCCTGCGAATGAATAAATTAATAAATTTGCCATTCCTAAAAAGGTGCTGGTTACAGGTACCTGGAGCAAACTTAAGACCCATCCAGACCGAGAACGGCATGCAGCCGTGATGGATGACATGAAGTGTGGAGACGTGTTCGTTCTTTTTTCGCAGAATGAAGAAGAGTGTATCGAAGAACTCGGTGAACTTCGAAATGTAGTACCACCAGCAAATGTTGACCATCTAGACGGCGGATAGAGTTTAAGTTAAATTTCACAAGACAATTCTTGATCGAATTTACCCGCATAGCCAGACCGCTGGTGCTATAGTCGACGGGCTGACACTTTAAGCTGTAATGACCCCACCATCCGCTCATTAAGTACTGAAAAGAACCGTAACGTGGATTAAGAAGAGAATAGAGAAAAAAGCCAGGAGTCACTTACCTCATAGAAAATCCACGCGCTAAATATTGTCTGTATAGCATTGTAAATGACTAACACTGAACGCAATTCCATTGGTTTCCGCTTGGCCATTAGCTTTGGTCCCAGAAATTTACTGAAGTATGCATAGAATATGCACATACCGAGTGTGGGCAGTGGTGAGGACAGCAGGAAGAAGTTGTTAACGCGGGGATCTGGAAAATAAAACCGCTATCAGAGGAGTGCCAATCAATCAAGTCTTCTGGATCTGTCGTACCACTCTTGTTATCCATGAGGTCCCGATACCACTCCTGGGCTTCTTGAAGTATGATTGCCATTTTGTTGCCGCTCTTAATTTGTTTATTTCGTGATGCTTACAATGGGATTGGTCCAGTTTTTGATTATGAGTCGAACTGTAATGAGTTTAAATTGCACTGTCTATAAGAAATATATATTAGTAGAATGTAAAATAATGACAGTTCGAGCTATGTTTAAATCATAGCCAACTGATGACCCAGGCCATAGAACTTACAAAGGGTAATAGCAGTGAACTTGACGTAAACCGCGGAACGACTGTCTCTGAGAATAGGTTTAAATATATATATAAATATATATGCATATCTTAGTGTCAGTACTCTTAGCACACAACAGTATAATTGCCAATGCTTTAGAGGCAAAACAAATTAAAAAGTGAGATTCATGAAATTAACAATTCGCCCGTTAATCAACACTTCAGATCAGGAAATTATAGACAGGCACGACGACCCAGCGGAGGCGGTAATCAGGGGCGTGACTTGGCCACTTGCACAATGCGAACTGCTATTTACTGGTCGGAGCAATTAAGACGCCGCTAACTGGACAAAGAGTGCACTTTGTACCGGCCAAGCGGATTCCAGATTCCAGCACAGTGGGCGTAAGCCATTCTGATTTCGATCTAATCGAAATAAAATCGAGTTCAAGCACTCTACCGACACGGGCTGGTTACTGGTTCTCGCTGCCCTGTCTTTTGAATTTCAATTGATTTGTCTGCCAGGTCATCGCACGACATTCAGCGAAAGCAGATTATTGGACTCCCTCTTCCCCTCTTTTAGCTCTGAGAAAAGTCGTCGATCCCTAAAGTAGCATTGTGTAAGCTAGTAAGGTGTCTTTTTAAAGGATGTTTATATTTTGATGATTAGTCGCCGAATACTTTGTTTTCATTTCATTGCATTTATCAATTATCAATTTAAGAGTTTCAATATTCCGTTTAGATAACTTAAACTTTCTGTTAACTATTTAGACTGAATTAAAATTACATAGCTATGACAGCCTTGGTTGCGGACCCCATTTTCAAGATGCCTCGCATCACTGGCCTAAGGTATCTGAACGGGTAAGTTGTGGCCAATTCAGGTTGTTTTTTGAATGTCATGAACAATAAACTTGCAATAGCGATGGCGGTGACGATGCTGATGGAGACGTAAGAGTTGGGCAACTGGCTCAATAACCGTTGACAAAAATGTGCCGCTTTATTGCCGCAGCCGTTGCCTCAGCCAGCAGCCATCAGCCATCAGCCATCGCGAAATTCACGTCTGTCGCAACCGGTGTGTGGTAGTTGGAGCTGTTAGCTCTTCGTTGTGTGGGTCAGTGGCACGCTTCGCTTTCCGAGCCAGCCTTGCCTGGAGGCACAGCATCCGCGAGGCGCGGCGACGTCGGGCGGTTAACTTGCGATTTCGCTGTTTGATTTGCATAAATTATGAAACGCCTGCGATGACGCTTCCGCCGAGGGATGGGACCGAGCCCATCAGCCACCATCCAGCCACCTACCACGAAATGGGAATCGTCGTCTTCATTTTTGTAATCGGCTCGACGTGGCCGAGTGCCCAGAAGATGCAAGATACGGGAAACAAATCGGCAAACAAACAAGCCGGGAACTTGTGTTTGAGCACACGCCCTGCCCGAGTGTCGCCCAGGTTTAGTGGCGAGTAAACATTGAGCCATCAAGAGCCGCCTGTTGCTGTTCCGGCCGCAATATCTGCACAACTACTACCGCCCTGCCCTGAAGGCCGTGTGCCAACAGATTGGGTTTGTAATCGCCAGCGATGGGGGCTTGGAGGTTTGTTTTGGGCTTGGAAGCTAGGTGCCTGCACGCTATTGTTAACACGACTTGGTTCTGCTTGTTCTGGGGCTTGGGCTGCACTTCCGAAATCAATTAGAGTGGATACGCCCTCGAGCTAGTGCAACAAGCGGTGCAGCAACAACAGAACGGAACGGAACAGCAGAAACGGCGTAAATAGTTTGATGACATTGCTAATTTTATCGCCGTTCACCTTAGGGGCGGGTGTGTATGTAGATTACACGACAATGACCGGGTTATCCATAGCTGTATCTCGCATAGAAAACCTAATTAAGTGGTAAATCGATGTGCCAGAGCAACAAAACCAACGTACCAAGAGATTTTCAACGAAAGCATGGGTGACGCATTCTTGGATGATAAGCGCCCACCACCATGCTGAATCAAGGGTCTAACCAAAATTGAGTCACTGGCCAGGAGTTATAATCTTTGGCAAGATAGAGACCAATTTCTTTGAAGTGGGCCCATAACGATGATAGCTGGCAATCAGGAGGGCCAATCCCGGAATGAATCAACCAGTTGGCCCCTTATCAACGGGCCAGACAGAACTTATTTCGGCCAAATTCAACTGGACGATCGGATAGGGTAATTGAATTTGATGATAAGCCGGCCAAAAGATATGCACTCATCTTTCGTGGCGGATTAACCTGTGGAAGCTATATCGCTGGAAGTCCCGTCACGTTTCTGGGCGCACTTGGAGCGATTATACAATGCGGAAGGCGCGGGCCGAAGTTCATTATTTTGGGCCACGCACATGCCCCCTATTTCGTCTATATTTATTTTGTCTCTTATATTTATTTACTTTGTTTCCGATTAGAGTTTCGCTTTCGAGCCAGCACTATAAAGTTTGCTCTTTGGGCTCAGCACTTGCTGCTTGGGTTTCTAATTAGGAGGGTGTTTGTTATCTAATCACAGTCACTCGGCAAGGCCACGCACATACTCGGCCAGCACTCACTTGGTCAATCCGCATGGGTTTCGCCTTTTTGGCCGGTCTGCTCGTATCGGTTTTGGAATCGGAATCAGCTTACTGGAAACTGAATGGGTCGATCGGCTGTTCCGTTTACGCGATGCTCCGCCTCACACGCTTTTAAGCCAACTGACGGCTGGTCGGATGTGCGTCTGAACCTTATCAGGCAGCGGTGGCGACAACTGTCAACATCGGAACCTCGGCGACTCGACGAAGTTAAATCGATCAGTGCGCGCACGAGTAAAACGATTATATGGCTAAACTGTGAATCACGCGAAGTACCTACTGGGCGGAAGGGGTAAGGTATCGAGTATCGGTCAGTTATCGGGTATCCAGTATCCAGTGTTCAGTGGCCCAGTATCCAGTATCGTTTACAAGTCCCCGCTTGCAGGGTTTATCACAGGCACAATGTCAAAAGCGGCGCGAGAGCGGTCGAGAGCCCAGAGGCAGACACAAGCCGCTATGTGAACCGTTGGCCAGCGTGCCAGAAATACAACTGACTCGGCGGTCCGCTCCGTCGATCAATGATGGCCTGGTCGAGCTTCGTCGTGGCTCATGTTTGTGGCCGAGCCTCGCTTACATTGCAAATTATGTGTTTATACACAGCGCCGGTGAAGAAACTAGTGCCGTGCTGCACCTAAATGGCAGAGTCCACTTCGGTGGATAGGCAAATAGTGAACCTCCAAGCGCAAGTTCAAGCAAGTACCACTAGGAAACACTGCTCAATAATTTGATAGAGAAGTGCCGAGGCCACAACAGAGCCCCGTAATTAAGCAGGATAGTATTTTAATTCATCAGAGGGTTGCTTACAAATTTAATGCTTCAAGGCCTCATGTACAATGCCATTTAAAAAAAGGTAAATCAAGTTTCAGCCACCTCCGCGCAGCATTTTTAGAAAATATACCTAATAAAGATTAAAATATGTATGTTCTTTTTATTTTTTATCTAGAAAGTTATACGAAGCTGCTTATTTAAATAACAATAAAAATGTATGTGCTTTAAAAGTAGCGCATACTAAAAAATTATCAACTCTGCTGTCTTTACATTTTTACTCTTACTTTTAATTAATTGATAGAAATGTAATATAAATATACATTTTTACTAGTATACTATAGATCGACAATGTCATGATAGCAATTAATTGCATGTATATAGTGATTATATTGCGAACAAGGTCTAATTTTTTTGTAATGCAATAATGGATAGCTCTCTCTCTATTTTAAAACAGCTTTTAAAAGAACGCTTTGGAAGAGGATAAAATACTCATGTAATTACTACAAAAATATTAAGAATACTTTCGGTTGGTGAATTGCTCTTTGCGATCGGACTGTTCCCGTTTTTGTGTATAGTAACAGGTGCTCTTCGTCGCTACTTAAGAACTCAGCCCTGTTACTCACTCTGGATTAGAATTGTATTCCTCTATGTTTACGGTTTAGCGCTATACAATATTAAAAATATGTTAGTAAGTCTATAAAAATTAAAAAAAAAAAAAACAAACACTTTCCGGTAAAACTACCTTAAGACAAATCGGAAAAAAGATAAAACCCTACTTGATACAACATGGTTTTTTGACCGCAGCTGTATGCGAGTGGAAGCGGAGAACGAGAGAAAACCATGCAGGGAGATGGAAGCGGGGTTTTCTGTTTTCTGCTTCTCTGCTTTCCGTGGCAAGTCGCCATCTTCTGCGGCAACTGTTGGCATTCTGATGTAACAGCGACTGACGCGACAGCTCGTTGACCAGTTAGCCATTTTTACCCGTGCAATGGATTTGGCTAGCTGACTAGTTGGATGTGGGCCATTAGAGTGCCGCCAAAACCACTTTCGCTTCCCGGGCTTCTGTGTGTTAGCGGGTGGCTTGATACGTATGTGGATGGGTCACCCCGTGAAGCAGCTACCTGGGAGGCGTCAGGCGGTATGCGGCAGACACCTTGTCGACTGGAGCGTCGGAAGCTTTTGTCGCTTGCAAAACTGTGCCGCATGCAACAAGTGCGCGGAAATCCCCGGCCAGGCGAACGGTAAACGAGAAAAAAACCCGGATCGATGCAGAGAGAGAATGGCTCGAAGTCGAGAAACCGTTACCTGCATGCTCGAGGCCTAATTTTTGGACTGGTCAGTCAACCAGCCAGTCTGCCCCAAAACTTGGCCAACTGGAAATACGTTTTTATATTCTAAGCGCTCGCTACTTTCTTTTCATTTGATTTCTGTTCTCTCGCAATTAAATGCAACCCTTTCCCGGTCGACAATTCCTCATAAGCCTGCTTCGGCGGCGTAAAGTGACCGGGGCTGAGGAGATTTGCTATTTCCCGATTCTCGATGTTCGATAGGTTCAATGTGCGGCATTTGTTGGTTGAGTGATTTTCTTTAGACAAAGTAATTAGTGACAAAAAATATTTCCTTACAAAGGTCAGGTGTGCCATGAGGTATGGCGTTTTTAAAGCTCTTAATCATATGGTAAAGATCCTATAAAAAGTGCATTGTATTACCAATACACTGACCTTATGCAAAATAATTATTTTCCATGGTTCATTAGGTAAATACTTATATAACAATGTTTTTACTCTTCAGAGCATTTCACATATGATTTCGCTGGTGAAGACCACCAGAAATTAAAAGCTTATTACACCTTTAAACATTTAGGCGCGAAAACGAATATGATATGTAAATAAACAAAGTGGCCCGAAAAGTACACACCTACTCTAATCGGGTCAAAGTCAGTTACTGGTATTGACGGTCTTGTGGAGTACGGTGAAATTACGGCAATAATCGCTGAAAAACAACGCCAATTAACTCGCTTACAAAACGGAAATAGCAACACGTAGTCCGAAATGGATTTCATGGTCAAGTTGCGCAGCTACTATAGACGTATGATTTATCATGAATATATAGGTGGACTCTGTGCAACTCTACAGATTCCCCGACTCAAACGTTCGTCTATATGTGTGACTTTTGTGGACGCATCTGATTAGCACCAGATAGAGCCGATTGCATGGGTAAACGGCGGTCCATGCCCACAAATACCGCCCACATGACTAGTAGATGTGGAACACGGACCCGATACATTTATTTAAATTTTTGAATTTATGAATGGGTGCTGCACACTACTGTTTACCTACATGTAAGTATATGGATGGACACACTTGTGCACACATTTCGGGGAGATCACAGTGGCGTATGAAACACCTTCAATACTGAAATAACACGTACACTAGTACTAATCGCAGTACTAATTTCTTGTTAAGTGCGTTATTATTGTTATTGTTATTATTGATGCTTTCGAGATTGTCAGTGTGTCAGTAATTCCATAAAGGACTGTGAAATGTTGAAACTAACCAAAAAAATGGTAAAAATGCATTTTCTATTAGAGCAAAAAAAAGGGATAAATATGAATAGTTAACCATATGTATATGTATATCACTGTACGATCTCTTTGATCTAAAACATGGCACTCTCGAACAATGCAGTGGTCCAATTATCCGAACTATATGTACAATTACCATAATTCCAACCTAAAAACCTATTTTTATTAAAAATATTTATACTTTTTTTACACTTTAAATATGGTCGCGGTATTAAAAGACTTTAGCTTTTGTTTATTATCACACATTGTTCCCAAGTAGTTTCCTAAGATTTAATTTTAGAACCAACAATAAATTGTAAAATATTTAATTTTCATAAATTTTAGAATAAACCGTTTTAAATTGTTATATTTTAATGGTGATCTTTTAAATCTCACCGCTATTAATTTTTTGAAGTGTACATAATTAAAATATTGAGCCAAGGCGCAGTAACATTGTTGGAATTCCGAACTCCTCGTAAGCAAATAAAGGCGTCGGCCCCTCGATCGCTGCGACTTATATTGCCAGAAGCATGGTCGGCAAAATTGAAATGAAAGCGCAAGTGAATATCGGACCGCTCCCACCTGACTCCAGATCGCGCGTCCGAATTATGTGCTCATGTAATTTGTTTGGTTGCTCGGCGGGAAGGTCAAGCCCGACAAAACCTGACCAGCTTGCTGACACTTTTGATGAAAGTTTCACTAGTGGTCGCGGACGGCGTAAATAATATTTAAATGCCTAAATATGTATGTATGTATGTACATACCATGCATAAATCCGGATGCATAGGTTACTGATGTCGGGTCTGTAGGTGTTGTTTATTGGAGATTGAATTTTCTGTGCAGTGCCTCTGCCATTAGCATTCTGAATCGAGGAGAAACCACTGATTTTGAGAGTCAAAGTTACATAAAACTTGCGCGGTAAGTTTGCTAAAAATACCGAAAACTCGTCTGCATTTCGAAAGCAATAAAAAGGTAAAATACCTAAAAACGCACAAACATTCATGCCAATATAAGGGCTGAGAGAAACGAACGAGAGGAGACCACAACAAACAACTGAGAACAGCAAGCGGCAAGAAAAGTCTCCAAAGGGGGAGCAATTAATTTGCGGATATGTACATATCCCGTCAATGTGAAAAGAAGCGAGAGTGGTAACTGACTTGAACAAACCGAATTCCGTACACCCTTGCCGAAGACCAAAGGTGCGAAAGATGTTATCCAATTACAGAATTAAACCTAGGTTAAATTATTAATATGGTAAAATAAGCAAAACTACATTTTTCGGTTAAAGGGCAATCATATATACATTTTAAGTTTATTGATTATTAGTCCTTCCTGATGATGGGATGATTATATAATATTAAAAAATATCGCCTCTACATTTTATATTGAACATCGGGCATTTTAAAGTCGCATATTAAGTTAGTTTTTTCTGAAACTTATGTAAATTACTGGAGTGATTTTTAATGTAATCATAAGATATCATTATTCGGCGAAAGTTGAACGTTGTCAGTATTGAAACAAAAATCGTGAATTCAATTCCAAAGACAGCCGAAGTGTATATACTCTTTCACCTTTAAAAAGAATACAACAATAAAGCAATTGGCATTGTTTCACGATGTCTAATAACCAATGTTGATAACAGGGCTATGGTGATGCCGAACAAGTGAATACATATATTTCGCAAAGGAATTATTTAGAGTGATATCTTGTGAAACTCGGAGACTGAAATATGCTTTCTCATACTTAATGACAGCTAGTTTCGACTGAGAATCCACTGAATTCGCATTACTGTTTAGAATTGGAAGATCTTCATCGCTTCGCAGCTAACGGCATGTTTATATCCGTTACTCGTAGAATAAAAGCTTATACTAGAGTCGTTGAAAAGTATGTAACAGGTAGAAGGAAGCGTTTCCGACCCTATAAAATATATATATTCTTAATCAGGATCAATAACGAAGTCGATTGAGCCCTGCACGTCTGTCCGTATAAACTCTGAGATATCAGGAACTACATATAAGAGATACACGCCCACTCTAACGCTCACAAGCCGCGGAAAGCTGTGGCGTCCATAATATTATATTGAATGTCTTCATTTAACCTTGTATAACATATTTTGGTCAATATCTATCAA